CGCCTCCGCCCTCCCCAGCATTCCACACGTTCCAGACCCGGCGCGCGGGCTTCCAGGATGTGGATTAGCGCCCGGCGCAGATTGGGTTTCGCCTCCGCGCCGCCCCGCGAAGGCAGCCCCTCCCCTGGGGCCTGAAGGTGGGAAGCGCTGACCTTTGACCTCAGCGGTGACTCGGAGGGGACTGGGCCCCGCCCACCGCCTTCCTCGGGCAGGAGGTCGGGGTGCCCCCCGGGGAGCCAGTGGGGACATCGCTTCGGATTCTCCGGCAGCCATCCAGTGAGCTGTGCGGAGGACCCCAACCCAGGACACAAGCGGGCGCCCCTCTTGCAGGGAAGGCGCCCTACAGGGCGAGAGGGCCCAGGGCACCTCAAAAATCTCAAAAATGCTCTTTTTTTTTTAAAAAAGCAGGGTCTCACTATGTAGTCCAGGCTGGCCTCGAACTCCTGGCGCTCCTCCTGCCTCAGCCTCCTGAGAGCTGGGATCAGAGGCGTGGGCCTCCATGCCCGGCTTCAGAGAGAATGTCTTCTGTGCGTGTCCTTTTCCTGTCGTTTCCGTCCAGCAAGAATTTTCCTGAAGGCGCTCTGTGGATGGAAGCTCTCCACACGAGACTTGCTGGGCCACCAGGGACCCTGGAGACCCTTCTGTTGCCTTTTGCACCCGGACGCTGGTCCCAGTGGAGTGACCTACTGGCCGGGCAGCTGCTGCCCCCACATTGACCGTAGGACTTGGCATCACGCCCCCCGCCCCAGCGCAGTAGGACTTTGGTGGCCCCATTGGGTCGCTGGTCGATCCCGGGCCTGTGAGGAGGTGGGGGACCCCCAGGCTGGGCCTGTTCACAGGCTCGAAGGGACTTTCCTGCCAGCTTCTAGGACTGTGACGGACTTGACCTTGAACCGAGTTTGATCAGGGCATTCAGAGACCTAAATGACAATTGACTAACATGCATCAAGTCCATCTTCAGCCTAGGGACCAGGGCATTGATTTAGGCGGTGCGCTGAGCCTTGCTGGGGCCGATTACCTCTGTGAGAGGCATTTGAGGGAGGGAGTCAGAGCAGGCCCTGTGCGGCCTTCAGGGGAGGCCCTGGATTCCATCCCCAGCACGGAAAATCCCAGCAAAACTAACAAATGAAATCAAACAAGAACATATTGTGTGAGCCTTGCCTGGTGGCTGTGACCCCAGCACTCGGGAGGCTGAGGCAGGAGGATCTCTGTGAGTTCGAGATCAACCTGGGCTACATAGTGAGTTCCAGGTCAGTCTCAACTACATAGTGAGACCCTGTCTCAAAAAACCAAAAAAAACCAACCAAACAAACAAACAAAAACAGTGAGATGCCAAAGTGAAAGTTTTGCGGTGTGGTGGCACAGGTGTGTAATCCCAGCACTTGGGAGGCTGAGGCAGGAGGATTGCTATGAGTTCAAAGCAAGGCCAGCCTGAACCACAAACCCAGACCTGTCTCGAAAACTAGAAAGATGGGAAGGAGTTAACTGGGAGGGCAGCACAGGCCTGGCACTGGTTGGATGGGTAGCCACGCCTACCTTACTGTTCGCCAAGGTGCGTCTATGGTTACATTTGAAGTGTGCACTCCAGTCCTTTGGCTAGGGCTTATAAAGTTTGTGTCCCAGCACCCACCGCCTGTGAATACGGATTATCCCTGCTTTACCAAGCAGGCACTGGGCCTTCAAGTAAAATAATCTTTTAAGGATCCGAGCTAATAAGTGGTTTCAATCCATATGTATAACAGGGGCTTAACCACACGATTGTCTGGCTGAAATTGGGGCCCCAATACCGCCTCCGCTAGTGCCTGCGGAGCCCCGGCCTTCCGTCTGTGCTGCTGTGTGCCCTCAGCCTCCAGGTCAATTAGAGCGTGGGGCAGGTACCGTGAAGTAATTGCCAGGTTAATTAGTGACTTCTGTATTTTTTGAGACAGGGTATCACTGTGTAGCCCAGGCTGTGAACTCCCGGTGATCCTCCTGCCTCAGCCTCCCTGGTGGTGGGATTACAGACACGAGCCACTATCCCTGGCTAATAATTTGTGTCTAAGTTAACTTTGTATTCTAGTGGCTGGAGCATAGGGTCACAGATTTGCCTGGCTAAAGGAACGAGAAAGCTCAATAATGAAGAAAAAAAGAAAACAACCCGAGACATCTCTTCTTAAATCTCTATGCCTAAAAAGTTAGTCATTCTAAGATTTTGTCACTGTGAGCAGAAATCCAGGAGGAGCAAACTGCGGTGCGGTTTGGAAACGCTCACACCAGGTGGGTCACGGGTCCTAAAACATCTGGATCTTTCCTCACTGTTATTTCCTCTTGCCTTTCAGGAGCCGGAAGATCCAGATCCGAAACATCCCGCCCCAGCTGCGGTGGGAAGTGAGTGCTGGGGGCTGGGGCGGGGCTGGCAGGCGCCCTCCGGGTGGTCAGTGTGGGAGAAGAGGCTGCCCTGGGGCGTCCCCTCTGCCCGACCGGCTTTTTGGGGTGTCCACCGAGGAGGGGCAGGGCGGGAAGGAGAGGGACGCCCAGGCCGGCCGCACCC